GAGAAGGAAAAGTGGCGCAAGTTTTGAGGCCAGGATGGCCTGCCGCAGATTTAAAAGATATTTCTGGTGCAATGTCAGTCGATGGCCATTGCAATAAGAAAAGGATGAGACCACTGCATTCAGAGACCTGGGACAAAGGGACCGACACTCGGATGCGTTTCGGCTGCTGTGAATTGGGTGGCTGTTGGGGCAGCAACAGGAGCCGAGGAAAGGCAGAAAGCTTGGTCAGAAGCCAGAGGATCAAGGAACGAATTTCGCCTGATGATGATTGTTGTGCTAGTGACTCATATCGAGCAATATCATCGGCTCCAAAGCCGATAAGGCCGATAGGCTGATCGATGAGACAGTTTACAGGAGGAGGTATGGGAGACCAAGTAATCTTGGCATCAGCCTATTAAACAATAAGTAGACAAAGAATGAGGAAAAAAGAGGGCGTTAGGTCTGAAAAGTAGGCCAAGGGAAGACCCGATGCATTATATAGCTCTTTTCACAGATAGCCATTTAGTAAAACTAAAATGGCTCAAGTAAAAAATATCTAGTAGAATTTATATAAAACATACAATGTTAATTGAATAAAGGGATTAAGAGTTACATTTATTTTAAAATGCCATCTGACAAATAGGCAAATTTTATACGACTCAAAGCAAAAAAGTTGAGACAGCACAGTAAATGTTCGACAAACCTGAGCTGCCCACTTTGAGAATCGTCGCCGCTTTAGCTCAAAAAAGGGTATGATAAAGCCGTTTTCTTCTTCATTAGTTTTTACATCTGATAATTCAGCGTCCGCCAGAGACCCTTCTATAGGGATACAATCGTAGTGATCATTGTGTTCAGTCGGCAAGGTAGGAAGATGGTCTAGGCGAACATCACTGTCCAGGAGCCCTGAGGCCCTATGCTTGAGGTTAGTATCGCATTTGAGAAAACTATCGACGCCAATTGTGCTACTTCCAACATTACAATCACTCATCATCGCCTCACTGCCATCAACTATCGAACAATCGTCGCAGTCTAAGTGTTGGTGAGTTGCCAACGCTCGGAGGCCTAAGCCAGCCCGAGACAAGCAGGCGGCTACCGGCACTCGAGAAGTAGCCAAAGCAGGTCCGGGAGCCACTAACTGCCAGCTGGCTATGCGCTGGGCCGCAGCCAAATCCCGACGTCGTATCGCCAAGGCTTGTCGCCAGAGGGCCATGTGTCGGGAGAGGAGGCGTCGAGTACACCATGAGGTTGCAGAGGATTCTAGAAAAATTTGTCGCACAGTTGTCTCAATCAGCGGGGTCAAGAGGCTTTGCATAAAAACCTCCTTCTGAAAGCAAAAATGAAGAAAAAATACCAAGGCAAATTGTAGAGCAATCAAATTAAAAAAAAACTAGGAATCGAAGATATGAAGACCAAGATGATGTGGCCTTCGGTATTGTCGCAGTTTCCTTTCCATTTATAGAAGTGGGTTGACCTCGTTTTCGCAACTTGGTCTTGTTGTCAAAACGACTTAGTTGAACGCACCTCATCCAAAGTCCTCTGCACTAAACAACGATTGTGCAGAGTCATCAGCAACATTAGATGTTGCATCTTCACTAGAATGAGCATATGGGTTGATTAAGTTAAAGAGGTCACAAACCCTTAAAAGATGGAGAGAAGCTGGTCTGCAATATTTAGCAGCCTTAAATTAATTTTACAAAGGCGAATTTAAGCACACTAGATGGAGTCAAGGAATACCAGTTTCAACTAGTCTTTTTTTGACTAAAAAGAAGCCTTTTTATGATGAATGGAAAATAATGCCTGCTAGTTAGAATTTGAGTTGAATCTACTGTTAATCCAGAAAGGCTGCTCTCAGTCGGACTGAAATGTAATTTTGACTTCGTCTTGAGATATTAAGCACTCGTATTATATTCGATATACCCTTTGTTTAAATAATTAATAACAGTTGTGTCGAAGGTATCATGATGTATTTGTTGGTATCCATTGACTAGGTACATACCCAAACGTTTCGCCGGCAATGTAGTCGGCATTGTCAATGAGAGGCGTCATCGTAAGCACAGAGTTACAACTTATCAAAGTGACAAGTGAAGGCATCCCCTTGACCAATTTTATGTTCAACTGTTGTAAAATCACTCCTCGATTCTATTTTTTGTTCTACCTTCTAGTGCCGCATATCCTTCTCTCAATCCCACTTATATGGCCCATCCACTAATTCACAAAATTCTATGCTCTCATTGTTTCTAATGCCGCATAAGTGTGTCAATACAAATAGGTTTATGGATGCGTAATCATCTCCAACACCGGTACCAGGTGCAGTTTGCAGGGTTCCTGATCTATATTCTTCAGCTCCCTTTTTTTCCTACCCACTTGTCAATTAGTCGCTACAAAACATCAAAATCATTAAAATCTGGCTGCCTAAGAGCCTTCCATTCCCGTCATCGATTGCACCATATTCGAGGATTTAGAGCAGATGTCTTGTCCATATAAATGCACATGCCAGTGCCTGGGAATCTTCCTCCCTCATCGCCACCCACATTGTGTCTCATTCTTTGGGGACCTGTGTCTGTCTTAAGTCATAACCGCTGGTGTGAAAACACACCGCTTCCTTTTTTTC